GTGGGAGAAATCGGATGTGGCCCATGCGGAGCCCGATCCGTGGTTCTCCACGGGCTGAGAGAAGGGTCTGACATGTACGAGAGAGAGCAACGGTGGCTCCCTCTGCCCACACATACCGATAGCTGGCTGGCTGGCTGTCTATCGAGAGAGAGAGGATAGGGCCCATAACAGTCTAGGCCAGCGATTCGACATGGTGTCAGACTCGAGGCCCCCCAGACACCCGAGCCCCCCCGCCCTAGGCTCCAGGCACCCCTTGGAAAAGTCCTCTTCGTTTTCACTGCATTTGTGACTGCGGAAAGCTCCGCGAGCATTACTTCTTCTCTTGCAACGAACTCAGCAAGCCCAGAGCGGGGCAGGGTGTTTTTAACACCGCGGGGTCTCGTTTGAAACCTCCGGGTTTATCTCGGGAATCGTGTTTGCCCACATAGCAGCCCGGGCGCGGCGCGGCACAGGCTGAGCGTCCCCGGCCAGGCGCGGGATTGCAGACGTGAGCACTCCGTGTCACGCAGCACAGACTGCAGCCCGAGACAGCAGATCATTCTCTCTCTCTCTCTATCTATCCATCCATCCATCCATCCATCTACATCTACATAGATAGATAGATAGATAGATAGATAGATAGATAGATAGATAGATAAAGAGCGAGGAGCTGGACACACACACACAAAGCCAGAGCCCCTCGTCCTGATCCGGACTGGCGCCGTGTCACAGCGCCGGGAGCCCCAGAGCATTTCACAGCCGCCCCGGACCTCCGCCGGTGCCGGCCGCTTGTTGACAGCCCCCTGCTCCTGCCCCTTAGCTCCAACGTCCCTCCGTTGGGCTTTACAAAAATAGAAGTACATTAAAAAAAAAAATCCCCACTTTTCTACAGCCAAGCGAAAGGCTCGAGGAATTTAAAGGCTCCGGCTCTTTTTCAAAGCACAAGCCCCAGTGATTGAGGAGCCGGGTAAGAGTGAGGCTGGTCTGTGAATCCGGGCCCTGGAAAGACGTGTAGACGCATGTGTGTTTGCGTGTCTGTGGACAAATCTATATTAAATATATACCAGGCACGTAGACTAAAAAGATCCTCTTTATATAATACATGTTTAGCATATAATTTAGTGCGTGTATAAATATATATATCTCATATTATATTATAATAATTATATATAACGTATTATATATAAG